GCACAGCGGGTAGGGCGTTTGCCTTGCACGCGGCCAACCCAGGTTCGATTCCCAGCATCCCATATGGTCCCCTGAGCACCGCCAGGAGTAACTCCTGAGTGCAGAGCCAGGAGTAACCTCTGTGCATCACCAGGTGTGACCCAAAAAGGAAAAAAAAAGAAGTAAGATTAGAGATGGGGTAAAAGAGCAAAGGAAAACAAGAAGCAATGTCCTGTTGAAGCTGGGACAACAATTTAGCTTTGGTGTTGTAGAAGTCAGATGATAAGCATCCAAAAATGAGGGGCTCTGTTGGACTCTGTTGGTGACGACAGGGCCTGAGTGATACTCACTTTAGCCATGCTGACAGCACTGTTACCTCTGAAGAGCACTTGGCTGGCAAAAAAACAAACAATAAACAAACAAAAAACAAAGTCTCATGAGAACGCATTCCCTGAGTGCGGGAGCACAGACAACTCTGGGGTTTCGCTTTTCACACAAGGTGGCATATGGGGGCTGTGTGGGGTAAAGAAAGGTCACTTCCTTCCCTTCTATTTCCCCTAGCTGGTCAGTTTTCAAGATGAAAGAAATGACAGGTTTATGACAGGTTTATGTACTGGCAGGACTACTCTCACAGTCCGGGGAAATTTATGCTGCAGAAGAAAGGGTGAAGAAATGCTGCAGTGATGTCCCAAGTGGGCAGGAGGGTATGAGATGGCGCCTCAAGCCAGATTAGCCACCAAACAGGAGAAACAACCAAGTGCTGCTGATGTGGGTGAAAAACAATCCGCAGGTTGCCAAGGTGGGGAATTCCCTCTCATGCTGTTTCCTCCCAGATACGAGAAGCATCGCCAAGGTTGGGTGAGGAACACCTCTAGGAAGTTTGTGGAGAGGCCATGAACAGGGGTCAGGAGGCAGTCAAAGGCGGGAGGGCATAGAGTTCCTGTATGCTTGACGCCCTGCGTTCCACCTCGGAACCATAAGCTACACCCAGTGCTGCTGCTGGGCCCTCTGGTCTGCAGGCCTGGATTGACCATCAGGCCTGCCCTGCTGGACCTCATGAGGATCCTGTGGACACTTAGAGTCATTGAGCAGCAACCCTCTCCGCTCCCGCCAAATGAGACTAGTTGAGGAAAGTACTCTTCTTCTGAGAGAGGCCGCTCCCACTGTGCGTGGAGCTTACTCCCAGGCCTCCTCCAGGCAAAGCATGTGCTCCAGCCCGTGGAGCTGCTGTCCCGCCCAGACTGCTCTTCTCTTTCCCAGTTAGAAACGCCTGCCATCTGCCCTACTTGAAGCAGCCAGCCCAGATTCAACCCGATCCCCACCCCGAGAAGTAGAAAATCTTCATGTAGGCCTAATTCTTATCTTTAGGGCTCTTCTTCCAAATAGTTCCAATGTAGAGAATTGGCAGAATTTGGTGTCAACCTTGTCTCCACGAACTTTTAAATCCAGGAGAGCTTTTACATCCCCAGTTTCCTCCCAAAGCACATTCGCCCAAGCCAAAGCGCATTCACCACATTCCCAGGAGGAGGGGTCCAAAGACTCAGGGTGGCCAGGAGAAACGGTCCAAAATAAACCAATACACATCATCCACTCAATACTAAACTACGTAAAAACATACTCATTTTTGTATGTCTAGATTCACAGACTGAAGCTAGAGGAAGCAAATGGTAAGTTCCCTTACATAGAATCCTTACACAGGATTCTATGTAAGATCAAATCATATCATCATTCTACTGGATCTTGAAGTCAGACAAGCTACTCTATTTTAGATAACCAAACCAGGGGGGGGAAATAAGAGGGTGGGGGGTGAAACTTGTATAAGAACAAAGAGATGTAAAAATGAATAACAAAAATGAATAAAATCCTAGGAATGAAAGGTTGCTTTAACATCTGAAAATCCACTATGTTGATTTTTAGAGAAAATAAAAGACCAAAACCACAATAATCTTAAGTAGATATAGTTAAAGAATTTGACAAAATTCGACATTTTTCAATGACAAAAACATGGAACAAACTAGAAGAGAAGGGAATTTACAGAAACGAATAAAGGCATCCAAGAAAAACACACAGTTGACAACATATCATCAGGGTAAGGGACAAATACTTCCCTGGTAAGATCAGGAACGAGATAAGGATGTTCACTTCATCTATGTTCTTCTGGGTGCTCTACCCAGGGTAGTCAGGCAAGAAACAAATAAAAGGCATCTAGATTGGAAAGGAAGAAGTAAAACAATCTACTTATAAATAACAAAATATTTTACATTTAAAATTCCTAGGATTTCTTTTTTTTTTTTTAGATTTAAAATAATAAGTTCAGGACTGGAGCAATTTACAGCAGGTAGGGCACTTGCCTTGCACAACAGTGAATCCAGGTTCAATCCCCAGCACCACATATGGTCTCCTGAGCCTACCAAAAAGTGATCCCTGAGCACAGAGCCAGGAGTAAGCCATGAGCAACGCCAGGTGTGGACCAAGCACCCACTCCCAAAGAAATGAGTTAAGCAATATACAAAATCAATACTATTTCTACACATGTGTGATGAACGATCTGAAAATAAAGTTAGAAACAATTCTACTTAAAATAGCCTAAGTGGGCTGGAAAGATAGTACAGGGTTTAAAGGCGCTTGCCTGGTACGTGACAGCCTCCAAGTCAAACCCCAGTATTGCATCCAGTCTCCCAAGATACATGTCTAGTCATCAAATGCATATTGTAGTCACAATAAAATAGCACTTTGTGACCAGTAAGATGGAAATAATCAAAAAGATAGATAAATCCAAGTATTAATAAGGACATGAAGAATCATGAACTCTCACACATCACTGATGGGAAAGTAAAATGATGTTGGGGAACAACCTACAGTTCCTCTGAAAGTTCAACAGAAAGCTGCATAATAGTCTAGCAAATTCACTCCTCAGGAATGAAAACATGTCCACAAAAAAACCTGTAAACAGAACTTAGTCCCATATTTTGTTCCTCCCTGGCTGGGGATTTTCTTTCTTTCCCTTTTACTTTCCAATAATCCTTTCTATGTCATAAAGAAAAGGAAAACTTGTACATTACTGTTCAGAGAAATATTAGCCTTAATGGTCAAGAAGCAGAAACAGCCCAAATGTTCATCAACTGACGAATGAATAAATAAAAAGATCTGCATGCACTACAGTGGAATGTTATTTGGCAGTAGAAAGTAACAATGTACTGATACATGTTCTAATATGGATAAATCTTTAAAACATTGTGCTAAATAAACACCTCATCACAAGAGCCATATGTTAGATGATTCCAACTTTATAAAAAGTCCAGGACAATTAAATATATTTAGAGGCTGAAAGAAAGTAGGTGATTTCCCAGGACTATGTTGGGATTGGGGGCAAGGGGTTGGAATAAAAATGAAGGTTTTTTTTTAAAGTTATAAATGTAAAAAAAGACACTGAAACCATCTTAAAATTCAAAGTTCAGTTGTGCTAAATATGTTGTTATAAAGCAGAGCTCTAGGGGCTGGAGTGATAGCACAATGGGTAGGGAGTTCGTCTTGCACACGGCTGACCTGGGTTCAATTCCTGGTATCCCATATGGTACCCCAAGCACTGCCAGGAGTAATTCCTGAGTGCAGAGCCAGGAGCGAACCCTGTGCAATGCTGGGTGTGACCCATAAAGCAAAAAACAAAACAAACAAACAGAAAAACCCAGAGCTCTAGAAATTTTAACTGGTGAAACTAAACTGTATCCATTAAAGAATCTCACTCTTTCTCCCAACTTTCTGGACCTACTATTAGTAAGCACCACTGTACTTTCTGTCTGCATAAATTCAACCTAAGACTCTCAAATGAATGGAATCATAGACCATTTGTCTTTTTGTGACACAATTTATTTTCTTTCTTCCTTTTTTTAAAAATTTTGTCACACCTGGGTCACACCTGGCAGTGCTCAGGGCTTACTTCTGGCTCTGTGTTCAGAGATCACGCCTGGTGTGGTCAGGGGGATGGTATGGGATTCCAGGGACAGAAACTGGATCTGCTTCTTGCAAGGCGCGTAACCTACCCTCTGTACTAGTGCTCTGGCTCTACCTTAAGGCTGAACAATATTCCATATTGTATATATAACATTTTATTTACCCCTTCACTGCTGATGAGACAAGATACTCATACAAATATGCATGTACAAATACCTTTTGATATCCTGCTTTCCATCCCTTTAGAAACAGATCCAGAAGTAGGATGGCTGGACCATGGGACATCTTCTTTCAGTGATGGATGTGTGTTCCAAATGTGGCAGTAGCGATGGTTGTACAGCTCTAGTTTACAGTAAAAACCATTGAACTGTACATTTCAAATGGGCGAAGTGCAATGAAATATGAATCTTGTATCAACAAAGCTATTAAAAAGCACATCATTTAAAGACTAAATTACATATAGTTACTATACTTTGAATTAGATAAATAATCTGATTAAATAACCAGTCAATCTCAGCACACAGGTAATTTTCTTAACTTTTTTTTTTTTAAGAGGGGCTTCTATGACACATCCAGTGTTGCATGTGGGATACTCCTAGCTCAGTGGTCAGATTCCTCCTGGAAATGCTCAGGGAACCATGTGGTGCTGGGACTCTGACCTGGGGATCACCTATTGGAAGCATGAACTCCAGTCCTGGAACTCCACTCCCCATCTCCACTGACTTGTCTCACTCCCCATCCCCACTGACTTGTCTTCAATAAGCTGGCAAAAGTTTAAAAGTTTTCTTAGACAAACTCAGTGCTTCCTTAACACTGAAAGGCAGAGAAAGTAGGGAGGAAACTTATGTGGTTTTAATTCATACTACAATTTTTCATATTTTGTGTCAGAAAATAAATATTTTGTGTCAGACAATAAAAAATAACAAATTCATACTAGTTATAATAAATATATTTCATTTATTCATTCAGATTTTTTAAAAAATAAGGAAATAAAATGTAAGTTGACTGACTTTAAGATTCAATTTTTGAAATGCCATACAATTATTTCACACAGAAAATGTTCAAAAACAGTTTTTTTAATATAATAAATATATATAAAGTAAAATGTTCTATGTCCAATATTGCTGCATGAGAAAAGTGGCCATAATTTTTTAAAGAAAAAATGTGAAGAAAAAGTTCATCAGATTCTCCTCATCACTAATCATTATACACAAGGCAAAAAGCTGACCACAATCCAGATGGTCACCAACTAAAATTTCATTATTATCTTTTCAACTTCATAGATATTTTTCATCTTGTCCAGATGCAAAGGTCTCATTCTAGAAAAACCGTGAATGGGATCATCTGAAGATTTCTTATGATCTCTTCCAATCTGAGCAGAGTGAAGAGGAAACTCTCTGGACTGAGAGGCGGGCACGCTTCGGGCACAGCACGAGCAGAGCATGTGCTTCGAGTACAGCACGCTTCTGAGCTCTCTCCCCAGATACTCCCATGATGCTCACAGCCGAGAAAAGTTCAGAGAGAAGCTCTCACTCCTGGCCCCGAGGTGGAGCCTGAAACAACAGTGACCACAGGCTTGGAGAGACCGCCATTACATGGGTCAGTCCTTTCCAAGTCTACATTTATACACTTCAAGGCTTCTTCGACATAATCTCTCAGGGTTGATTTTAAGTGAAGTTTGAAATATTAACACTTGATTTCAGGTTCTCATTACAAATTTTCAAAGTCTGTTTGTATGCAAAAACATAATTATGGATGGCCTTGCGAAGACCTGAGTGTCCTTCAGGGATATCACAGGAATTGATGACAGAATGCAGTGCGCGGGTATATGCTGCAAATAAAGGTTTGCACAGTGATGAGCCAAGCTGGATTCCAAACAACTCTCCCAATCTCTTGCCTATTAGCACTCCTTCCTACTGTAGCCATCTATTGAATACATATTTACTGAGCACTTAGCCATCTGCTAAGCACTCTTTGAGAACAGAAAAGAAAATGAAAGAATGAACACAAAAATAATTAAACTGCAGTGTAATACTTCCAAGCCAGAGGCACATACGAAATGTCCTCAGAGAATAAAGTCTGGAATGAATATAAAACTATTTAGGATGAGATTATAAAAAGGATGTCAAAAAATGGAAATATTCAAGATGATCTTGAAGGAATGATAGGAAAGCAGATATTTTAGGCTGAGAATTAAGTGTATGTGGTACAAAAGACAAGAAAGTGTGACATGCAGTGGCCAGACGGAGAGCTCAAAGGCTGGAGAATGGCTCTGGTTCCCCATGCACTGTCACAACTGACCTCCAAACACAGACCCAGAAGAGACCCATGAATACTTCTGGGTGTGGGGTGTAAAACCAACCAACAAAAAGTGACAAGTTCTGGGAACAGCAAGTTCGCGAAGCAGGACATAAGCAGGGCCAGAGAAAGCACAGTAAAATATGCTATGCCACTGGCTTTCTAAAGGCGGCCCTAGGGAATTCAGAACAGGAGAGCAGGACCAAATTTGCTGATCTGATTGGGTTTTTTTCTTTTTTCATCATTTTAATTCAAAGAACTGACAAGAAATTTATTACACACAGATGAGACTCAAAAATACAAATGCTGGCAGTATTTTTAGTGTGACCATGAAGCTTATTCAATGTCTATACTTGGTAAATCAATATACTGCTTTTGTGTGTGTGTGGTGATGAGATTGAATCCAAGGCCTTATACATATGAGGCAAATACTTTCCCACTGAGCTACATCCCCAGGCCAAGAAATAAACATACTTAAACATGGACAAGAAATAGAAAAATTAGTCTCAGTAGGAAAGATGGTCAGCTAGTTGGCCATCTCAAGCTGGGATTCCTGAAGATGATGATATTCTTGGCTTTATTTTCCTCAGCTTCTCGTGGCAGAACTAAAGTCTGTCTGATGATAGTAAGTCTGTGTGTTAGAGGACATTCGAGTACTTGCTAACAGGAACACAAGTGAGCAGAGGCCCAACTTGCATGATCCCAAAGACACAAAGACATATTTCTGCATTTTTAAGAGGATCTGGAACCCCGGTATCTCTACTGTGAGACTGGAAATATTTTCCCTAAATAAATGGAGACAGGAAGACAACGTATAAGCTCGAAGAGAAATAAATACTCCTGAATTATTTTGATCAATTCAGAATTGCTTTGTAAAAGAGTCGTAATAGGGGCCAGAGTAATAGAACAGCAGGAAAGGTGTTTGCCTTGCACCTGGCTGACCTGGATTTGATCCCAGGCACCCCATATGGTCTCCTGAGCCCTGCCAGAAGTGATCCCAAAGTACAGAGCCAGGAGCCTGAGCACAGACAGGTGTGCCCACCCCCCAAAACAAACAAAAGAGCTGTACTACTCTTTGGTATAAATAAGCACTCAATAAATGTTAATTTCTGCTTTCATGTTAACAGTCTCCTTTTAAAAACTTCCCTCTAAACAAATAAACAAACAAACGAAAACTTGCCTCTGTGATTTTTGTAGAAGATGCAGTTATTGGCGCAGGTATCAGGATGCGCGTCCCAGAACTCGGGGCCACAACAGCACAGCGCAGGCAAGATGATATTATTCAGCTGCAGTTTCTCCTGGATCTGGATTCTTAGAGCTTCTAGATACCTAAAAAATACAGTGTGAGCAGACCATGTGAGCTGTCCAGAAGAGAAGATCACGTGTCCCTTACCCCACAGCCAGCATTAATGGGTCAGACCTTCTCTGGGCCCCGGTGCCCCCTCGAGTAAGCCGCACTGTGAGGACTGCGGTTCCTGAGAGGCACCACACGGTCAAGAGATCTGATGAGCCCTGGCACCCCAAAACGCAGAAAAGTACAAGTCTACAGCGCCAACTCTCCCTCAAGGAGAACAAGGACATCCTTCCCTATTGTTGCTGCGGGCCAGACTGTCAGAGCACCTCTGATGTTCCTTTTCTCTCTGCTTTCTTTCTCTGGATTCTTCTCTTTTCTCGAGTCGTAGCTGGTCATCGGGAACTATCTCCTCCCCTGAGTAAGGCTCCTCCTGCAAATTCATTATTATCTGCTGCTCTTCTGCATGACGCTGCTGCTCTTTCTTTTTCTTAATTCTGAGAATAAAACCATAACAGTGAGGAATTACATAAAAATCAATACTCAGAATTAGCTTCTAGATCACCTAACTCACAAAATTCACAGAAATAAGGAAACCAATTATCATCTGTAGCACAGCCTCAAAACCCCACCACCTGATTTACAGCTTCGAAAATGGAACTGGCCAATAGCTGCTATTAATAAGAGTTTTCTTGTGGGACCTAGAGCAATAGTACAGTAAGTAAGTACGGCAATTACTTCGTATGCAGCTGACCCAGTTTGATCCCTGGTATCCCAGATGGTTCCCTAAGCCTCCCAGGAATGATCCCTCAGCAGAGTCAGGAGTAATTTGGGCATGACACCTCAAAATTTAAAAAAGTAATAATAATAAATTAAAAACAAAATCGATGAAGCAGATTTGTGAGCTACCAGAGATACAGGCATCCAGTTATGAGCCGAGATCTCAACCCTAAATAAAAATGGCAAAGATACTGTAAACTTAGCCAACATCAACCAACTTGACTTAATAGGCATTTTTATAGAACACCTCACAGAGTTTAGAGGAAGGAGGGATATACATTTATACATTTATAGAACAACAAAATATACATTTATCTATTGCAAGGTTATTGAGCTTTGTACATTTATCAAGATAACACATTCTGGGTCATAAAACAAATGTTAATAAACTGAAAAGGATTAAAATAGCATACTATTCTCTGACCTCAACAAAATTAAATTAGAAATCATTAACAGAAAGATCCTTGAAAACTGTGCAATGTTTGAAAATTAAATAATATATATCTAAAGAATCCATGATCTAAAATGAAAAAAAGGAGGGGCCAGAGTGATAGTACAGCAAGGCAGGCATTTGCCTTGTACATGACTGACCCAGTTCGATCCCAGAATTCCATATGGTCCCCCAAGCACTGCCAGGGTGATTCCTGAGTGCAGAGCCAGGAGAAACCCCTGAACAACGCTGAGTGTGCCGCCCACAAAAAGAAAAAAATAAAAAAGAGGAAAAGTCAGAAAGCATTTTGAACTGAATGAAATTTATCAGATTCTGCTAAAGAGAATTTAGTAAGAAACACACACAACCCCAATTATATACTTTTGCTTTTATTTTCCTTCCTTCTGATGTTGAGAACCCCAAAACATGGAACATATCCCCTAGGTTACCTTTTATATATTTTATGGCCTTGTATTATTTTATGGTTACCCCTAGATGCGTCACCAAAATGACACAGAGATTGGAAATAAGCATTTTAAAAATTCAACATCTTTCGTCATTCAGGAAATGCACTCTAAAACCACAATGAGACACCGACATACCTTCTCAAATGGTTAACATAACAGATTGGCCATATCAAGGACTGATGAGGATACACAGAACTTAAATGCTCTATATTGCTGGTGTAAATATAAAATGGGGGGCCAGAGTGATAGTATAGTAGGTAGGGCATTTGCCTTGCACGTGGCCGACCTGGGTTCAAGCCCTGGTATCCCATATGTTCCCCCAAGACCAAGACCACCAGGAGTAATTCCTGAGTGCAGAGTCAGGAGTAACCTCTGAGCATCACCCAAAAAGCAAAAATAAATAAATAAATAAAATGGTATAACTACTTTGGCAAAGTTTCAGTTGCTTTAATAAATGATATATATATACCTACCATATCACCCTGGTATTTACTCAAAAGAAAAGGTAACAATTTCTATATAGAGGCTTATATATGAATGTTCACAAGTTTTATTTATAATAGCCAATGAAAGAAAATAGTCCAAATGAATGGTCAGACAAACTGTTGTCAGTCATACATCACTTAACAACAGAGATAGCCTGAGAAATGTGTCTTCAGACGAATTCATCATCTTGTAAACATCACAGAACACAATGACACAAGCTTAGATAGAAGAGCCGACCACACACCTAGGCTAGACAGAAAGGATGGCAGGAGTCACTGTCTTATGTCACCCATCACTAACCAAGCTGATGACGAAAAATCCGCTAAGCTACTGATGACCACATATCTGTGATAATAATCAAGAAAATTTCTTCACAATACAAACATGAAGGATGAACCTCAAAAATATTTATACTGAGATAAAGGAACTGAGTGCCTGAGTAGGTGCTGTATGATTCCTGAAAGTACAAAGTAACCTACAGTGACAGAAAGCAAAGCAGGAGTGACTGGAGAAGGGGAGAGGGAGTGGTAGGGAAAAAGCTATTAAGGGGACAAGAAAACTGAGAAACCTTTGGGGGAAGAATCGCTATGTTCACAATCTTCACTGCGGTTGCAGTTTAAGCGAGGGTGTGTTCAAATGTGTGTGTGCAAGCATGTGCATGTGTGTGTGTGCATGGGTGTGAGCATATGTATGTGTGTGTGTGTGTGTGTGTGTGTGTGAAAATAACAGCTACTTTTTTTTTTTTTTTGCTTTTTGGGTCATACCTGGTGATGCACAGGGGTTACTCCTGGCTCTGCACTCAGGAATTACCTGACGGTGCTCGGGGGACCATATAGGATGCTGGGAATCCAACCCGGGTCAGCCGCATGCAAGGTAAACGCCCTACCCGCTGTGCATTTAGGGTAAACAGCCTAAATAACAGCTACCTTTTTATTTAGATTTTTATTAGTGAAACACCATGAGGTACAGTTGTAGATTTACAAATTTTTGTGCTTGGGTTTCAGTTATACAATGATCGAATGCCCATCCCTCCACCAGTGCCCATTCTTCACCACCACTGATCCCAGTATCCCTCACTCCCCCCATTCCCCCCATCCCACCCTGCCTCTGTGGCAGGACATTCCCCCTTGTTCTCTCTCTCCTTTTGGGTGCAATAACAGCTACTTTTAACATGCACAATTTAATCAGAAAATGTGAGTCAAGGCCAAGGAGCCCGAGAGCTAGAGAAAGGCTGTGTCCTACCAGGACTCCAGAGAGAGCTCAGGACTGCCACTGTCCTTCCCTCCAGGTCAGGAGTGTTCACTCACAGCTGCACATTTCTTCACCTCTCCATAAACATATAAAAAGACACCTTAACTGTAGGTTTCTAAGCACACAACAACACACAAGAAACAACTCCAAACTGCAAAGGTCACAAAGGGAAAGCAACTCCGAAACCCAGCAGCTTAGTGAGTGAAGACACTAGCCCAGATGACCCAACCCGTAAGAATGAGTTACATAACCTCTCTGATAAGGAATTTAGAATGGAATTGCTGAGGATGCATAAGGAGCTCAAAGAAACAACAAAAAACGTGAGTGAAGACCTTTCATTTAAAAAATGGAACTGATTCAAGACTAGAACTTTAAAACATGCTGATAATGTCAGTTACTAAAATTACTTTGGAACAAAAGAACTATTGTTTTCTGAATAGTAGCATGAGGCAAATTCAACACAATAACGCATGACGGCTGAAAACTCTGGGCTTCTGTTCTATGCCAAGCTCTGACTCCCGGGAATCATTACCTTCCTCTCAGTTAGACTGACACAGGTATATGTTTAAAGTCAGAAAGTCATTCTGCAGAGGCCGAAAGATAGGGCTTTGGAAAAGTCCAAGACGCGTGACAGCTGTGCTGAGAGCAGAACTTGGTCTGTCCAGATTCTGGCAGCTCATCACTGGCCTCTTCTAGAAGAGTGGCAATGCCACTTTTTAAACAAGGATTTTCTTACAAGTGCTCTGCCGTATTTGCCATTCTTCCCCCAAGCTACAACCAAGTTCAAACTGAGAATCCCTCAAAGAGAGCAGCAGTTGAATGGGGCTTTCATGGCAGACTGTAGTAAGGGCTGAGGTGTGAAATCTCACCAGTAAAACTCAGGCACAGATATATTCTTATGCCCGTATCACTAAGACAGATAAGATGGTGCACTAAAGATGTGAGAAAGGTAACATGGGTAAAGCCAAAGCTGGCAGTACACATGTTACAGCTGACCTTAAACTATATTTCACCTTGCTTTCATAAAGCAAGTGAGGGGGCAGAACAATCGTACAACATGTCCGACCCAAGTTCAATCTCCACATCTCTGAAGTCCCCCAAGCCTGTCCAGAGTAATCCCTGAGCACAGAGCCAGGAGTAAGTATTGGACAATGCTAGGTATGGATTCCCCAAATATATTTTTCATTTCATTTTCATTTCATCATCCTGTTATTCGTCGATTGCCTCGAGCAGGCCCCAGTAACGTCTCTTTCATCCTAACCCTGAGATTATATTCAAGGCTCTTTCGGAGAATGAGACCCATCATTGTTACTGGTATTTGGCATATTTGGTACGCCACGGGGAGTTTGCCAGACTCTGCCCTGTGGGCAGGCTACATTCGATAGCCTGCAAGTTTGTCCAAAGTAGGAATGAGATAATAAGATGTCATAAAAAGATGTCCTGATAAGATGTCTCGCGGCCGCGAATGCGACCGTGCGGTTCTGGGAGCTGGATTTTATAGTCTCTGAGTCTTGGCCGTTGATGGGATTACACAGCGCCAGGGGGCCAGGTGGTGGGTGTGATCCTCGCCTACTGGAATTTGGAGGATCTGGGTGGAGGATGCTCGACTCCAATCCGAGTAGGCTGGGAGATCTCGGCCCCGGAACCCACGTGAATTTGTCCCTCTGCCGGTACCTTCAGGTGTGCGGAGCGTGGTCTCAGCATGGTGGTGGCTGGTCCTGGAGGTCTTCGGCTGCCGGAGCCCTGGTCGGGGCAGGGAGGAAAGCTCAACCCGCTCCCCTCCAATGGGTCCCGGCGAGGAACAGCCAGGCACGGGGGCAGAAGACTGCCCCAAATATATAATATATAAATTAATAAAATGTGTGAATTGAGCAAAACACTGAATGGCAAGAAAGTTTAAAGACAGGCCTAAGATCATAGGTTTTCTTGGCTAGGGATCTACAAACACAAGATGTTATTCCAAAGAGAACCAGTAAAGTTTTTTAAAGACAATTACATCTGTCTGTCTGCTCACCTTGTGAAGAAAAAAAATCTGGAAAACCATTTTCTATAAATAATCTGGTTTATTTTCAATATTGAAATT